TCAAGAAAATGTAGTTATAATTAAGAAAAACATAGAAAAAAAATGGTTTATTTCGGTTTTAAACGTTTTTTTTTAATATGCAAGCGCCTTTCATCTCCACTTGATGACTTGCGGATTCAGTCGTTAAAAGTCACCTGACGGCCATTAAACACTGGTCCGATATGTTCAGCGTATCGTTGATTCTGAACAAATGTCAGGTTATTATCATCGAGAGTAACCGCGGTATGAGCCAGCTTCACTTTCACCACTTACCTATGATGGCATGGTTATTCCATCTTGTGAAAGATCTCGGATTATATACTAACACAAACTCTTATCTAGCGAAAACAAGTTGCATCTGTGTGTCAGAAAGTCATGGGCTCGTTGTGGGCCCTATGTAGGCTCAAGAACATTCTTCCATCGAAAACGAAGACAATGCTTGTTTATACTCTAATATTTCCTATAATCGACTATGGTGATATGTGTTACGCAAATATGATCACATGTCTCAGCACCGCTCCCATTTCAAATGGCTTCCAATTCCCCAACGCAGACAGACACGAGCTGTACCTACCCTACTTTCTTTACTTTTCTCCAAGTTCTCCTTCCTACTTAACTTCTCAACTTCAATATTTAAGTGCAAACCACACGACAAACCTTACATTTTATCACCTAGTGTATTTGATTTCATAATTAAAAATTATTCTAATGTAATTTATAAAAGTACTCTTGAGTGTATGATATACTATATATGCTATATTTTTAAGAATTCCTTTTTTATTTCTCTGTATGTACCATGTTTTGTTCTGCATCGCCTTAAGGTTTACTGGTAGAAAATGCCTGCGGTATTCAGCCCACCTGTGCAATATTTGTGCATAAACATTAAATAAATAAAATAAACCACTCGTGATTGTACTCACTTAACCGCCACAAAATTTCAACTTGAATTGAGAGCTGCGACGCGCATCGCGACTCACCGCCATTTAGTTTATACGCCACTGGCGTTTTAGTTTGCGGCGAGCCGCCAATGAGTTTGTACATTATCTTCAACAGAAGTTCATTGTTGAAATTCAACAACGAGAAGATATTTGGAATTCTTCAAATGACGAAACACTCATTCTAACATTCTCGAAAAGTTTATCTTCCTGCTTCTTCAGTTCTTGGAAACAACTTGCGAACTGGCCAAATTCGTTGCGTATTTTTAGTAGATAATGAATCCAGTATCTTTTTTCATTTCTATTTCGTTGTTTTTGTTATTAAAAGTAGATAACGCAAGCTACCTCGTCGGTGTCCATTTCGTTAATCCACGCATTCGAGCGGCCCAACCGCTTAATGCGGTTTCATCGCGGTTGGCTGCCATACCGGTCAGCCGCAATAGCAGCTATTTTTTTCTGACGATTAAAAAATCGGTCTTGATGTTTTAATTTAAAGACTCATTTAAAGACATCATCATTAAAAAAAAAAGAAAGGTACTATTTTTAAATTAACACTTATTGGAGGTTCATGTTATGCCTGGATGGACCATTGGTAAACATTTTTTTTCCTTCGATTCACCTGTGTGTGTGTGGGTGTAGTCAACAGAATAAAAAGACTTAATAGGTTTTTTACAAATTTATTTGAACTGTTAACATTCTCCTTTTGCTAATAGCAGAATTTATTTCATTAGGTTTACTTGGTTGAAACAATTATTCTAATTGCAGTTATTATTCTACACAGCTTGTTTAGATTTTACAAAAATATTTCAATATTAGACAAGAGACTGTTGTATGACAACAAAAATAATCATCCGAAAGCCTAAGAGGGTAAATGCATTGTTTGCATTGAGACAAGCTTTTTCTAAATTATTAAAACTAAAACCTCATGACTATTATGATTTGTGATCTTGATATGTAGAATTTCTGTGGGTAATGAAATCAACACATATAATAATATGATTAGCCAAAAAAATATGGAATGTGTTTTTTTCGTCATTTGATGCAGAAAGGTTTAGTATGTATCCAAATAAACACGCGTGATCATTTTTTTCTAAATTCAAATCGCAGTGTTAGAAATGCTTAAAAAAAATTTTATTACATGATAACCTTTTACAAGTAAATCAAATTACTCAATAAAATATAATTAAATTGCATGTGACACATTCTTTTATTTACACAGATTTGTTGTACTTCAATATGAAATATACCTGTCTATAATATCATGTCAAGCGTTGTTTGAATCTTTTTGGATTTTGCTTAACTGAACTAATTATTTGAACTAAATTGTATTAGCATATATTATATGGTCGTTTCCTTATTGCCTAAAATATATGTATATAACATATACCTATACGTATTAAATAATAGGTCACTCTGACCTATTCATGAAATAATGGTAAGAATTATTCCAATTTATATAATGCTCTGTATAGTTTATATAATAGTATTCTATTTTAAATAATCATAGGCGTCTAGATTTGTACCGGTAGTCGTTATAAATGTAATTCCGCCACATTATGTCCGCCAACTAAAAATAATATAAGTGCAATTAACAATTAGGGACGAATTTATTTTAGTGTTAGTGATAAACAAATAATGTATACCTAAAAAACCCTACCTCACCGATGGATCAGAGCGACCGCGTGCTCGCCCGCACACTGCACCACAGTAAAAGAAATACTATGACTGCACTCAACCAATCGCGTAAGTCAAAATGCACCTAAAGTTCACCTATCTAATGAAACTAGGAACTGTTATAATAAGATACGCTTAATGTTATAATTACCCATGACTTAATGAAATTGTCTTTCAAACAAAATGTATTCTTCATATAAAATATGGGAAACCCAAATACTTCGAAATATTTTTTTCCCAATTTCGATGTTCTGATTTTCAAAAGTACGAATTTCATAATACCTAAGAATTATGTCTATTATTAAAATTTATGAAATTTATTTTACCGAAAGTCGTAAATGCGATGCGTTCCAATTTCCAATTTTTATACGTTCGAAGAATCAAATGCTCGATGGTCCGAAAAACGACATTCCGATTTTGAATTGTTCAAATAAATTGCTAAAATTAAGATTCTGATTCAGTTAGCATAATATTCAGTTACGCATATATGTTCAAAAGCTATGTCTACTTTGTTATTAATATTTGTGTATAAAAAGAATACTTTTATGTTTTCTTCTTCTCTTTATGTATACCTGCGACGGGTACCATCTGCTGTTATTGAATTGTTTGGGTTAGGTTAGGTTAGCAGTGTGAAGGCGAGCGGGCCGCGGCAGCGGCCGCCGAGCGCCAGATCCCCTTTATTGTCTGAGTATAAAGTTAGGTTAGAACTGTGACCATCGAAAGAAAGTATTTATATTCGTAAGAAAATAGAAAGAATTCGAATTTCTGATGATGCCAATTATCATTAATTAATATTCATTTTTGTTATTCGATCTATTGAAACTCGGTATTTTGATCATAGTGACTATAAACGTTAGGAATTTAGAAATTTAATTAATTAAATGATCAATCAGAGTAGTTATGTTAGAAATTTTGAATCATTCGGAATTATGAAAATCGGTATTTTGAAATTCGTAATTGTTACTGACGGAATAAAAATTTTCGTATTTGTATTGAGGGGTAATGAAATCGAAACATTTCTACAAAATAAGTACCTAAACCTGAACTAGTTCTAGCTCTATCACAGTAAAATATCAAAACACATAAGCAGCTTCTTTAATTTTAAATGATTTGATTCACAATTTCTTAAGGCGCTTGACGGGTATTTCGATCATGGGCATCGATTTTTTTACTGTCCACAATTCATTCTTAGTTAATATTTTTAGGAATTACACAAGTGACCATAATGTTGATATCTTTGTTAACAACATGGTAATGAATGTTAAATTAATAGAAACTGGTGCTCGCTCAAACGTATAAGATAAAAATGTGTGTTGTTTGATTTGCGTGGTCAGTTAAACGACTGTTATTCAAATACTTCTCTACAAAAATCGTGTACACCAAAATCTGTATATTACCATTTTGTGGGAGTGGTGTACCCTGCCTTCGTAATACGTAATATATAACTCAAAACACATATTCACTCTGAACATAAATAACTTATCTAAAGAAGTACTCTGCATTTAGTGTTAAACTTATTATTTTACAATATCATTTTATTTAATTATTCAACAGTTGCTAATAATATATAAAATTACATAGCTACTTAACACTATAACAGCTTTCTCTCCGACAAAATATACACTACCTGCTATACTTACTACTTATTGCTAATTTAACAAAAGTCACTGAAGACAATATTATTCTGAGTCACATTATTGTGTGCCGGCAAGGAAATGCTCATGTTGTAGCTGTATAGCGATTGACACTAAGTTCAATTCAATTTTGTCGACTAATTTAAGTAGAAGACCATGGGCGTTCACGTCAGTCTTATTTATTCAATCGCAAAGTGCGAAAGAGCATGTATAAAATAACAAAGACATGATAAAATATTAAACAAATCTTAATATCCTGACTAGATTAAGTAAAATGATCGTAAGTAATTGAAACAATTTTAAGTACTATAAGACGGTGAGCCGATTTGAATCTTAGTGCCTACATCCTCTTCAAAGAGACATAGAGATTATGGAATTCTTTAAAGCAACCATGGTGTTATAAAACTTGCAACAGAGAGCGTATGCATGAAAGCCACAGAGAGTAGCACACCACGGCATAAAACGATCGTTTCGTGCGCTCAGTCGAGTCGATAGTCTTCGCTTTTCAAACGAGAGCGTGACCAACAATTACCAAAACTATAAGGTAGGATGACAGTAAAGAATAGTAGATACATATCCAATCTGTTTCGTTTATATAGTTATAGCATTTCATAACGATATCAAATACAAATACCGTAAAATGCATGTAAACGACTGTTACTTTAATTTTGTTATTCGATCATTGCAGTGTCTCTAGTCAGCGGCTTACATGCGAATGCTCAAGGTTTTTTTACCCCTGGGGAGGGCGGAGAGATCGCTTGGAGGGCGGAAGGCGCTACTAAAGTTGCTGGCTCTGGCGGCACGCTACGGCCGCCACCAGGGCGGCGCCGCGACCGCTGCCGTCTTCTGATAACATCAAGTCGAACTGTAACAGACAAGTATTATTTCCTTATTATTAATGCGTTGTAGTAGTAGTTGGGTACTGTAAACTATATCATATCGATCAAATAAAAGACGAGCGCTGGAGTATTACGGAGGTATTTTTATGGCAACGATTGGTCATTTTTCTTTGGACGAGATGTTACGGTCTTCCTCGGTGACTTGGAACAAAAACTTGTTAAGTCATTATTATGATTCACGAGTAATCAAAAGATATTTCACTATCAATGAATGTTCAACGCGAAGCATTTATACCGTGTACTGCGCAGTAGTGCGCAGCTGTATTTGACTTACAAGCTTCATCTTTTACATCAATTCAACTCTGTAGGTAAACCTTTTCCTCAGTAACGCGTGGGGGGTACCCCACGCGTTACTGAGGAAAAGGTTTCGACAAACACAGAGACGGGCAACGTAGTTATCCTATAATCTGTTTAGTATATTTTTTTCCTTTTGAGGTAGGAAAACCCTAATTTGATAAAACTCATTAATTGCGTAGCCAGATAGAATTCTGGAATTATCATTATTATTTATGCCAGCGTGGTAGTATGCCAAAACCTTTCTAAGGAGAGGCCTATGCCCGGCAGTGGACTATTAATGGCTGTTAATGATGATGATGAAATAACGCAATGTAAATAAAAATATAATTTAAACATGTTTGACTGGACTCTACGAAACATGTCATTTGTAAATTAATCATTTTGGGTATTTTGAATTTTTGAGGAATGTCAAATTAAAGAGAATCACTTTGTAATCAGCGAAATGTGTACATCAGCATAATCGGGTAGTACCCTAAGTCTTATGCAGTACACACACTAATTGACTTTCTGTGCTTAAGTTTATTTAATGTTTTAGTATGTAAATATGTAGGTATGAAATGAATTCTGTGTATTTACGTAGTTTGCCTAATCTAAGTAGGTACATAACGACTGCGATAAGCGATCTATCACAATAGCGTAACATTTTGAGATTGATTACTATCAGATAAGCGTTTAATACGTCATGGCTGTTTTACCAAATCGTTTTACTTTAACGTCATAAACGGGCATATATGACTGCGAAATGTGCCCTTTCTGTATGTGATGGAAAGTTTTATAGGTACCTCTGGCTGTAGGGTCTATTAGACCCAGAGTCTATGAGACTCCAGATTCCAGAAATCATTTTGTATGACAGTGAATACTTTCAAATACTTTCTGCACACATTACATAATAGGATTTTAGTTTTAATTGCTGGATTTTAAAATAATATTTTATTAACGTCCGTTATTGGTACGTAAAAAACGTCGGGTGCTTATCCATCATTTCATAATATAATACCTTTACTTTTACTAATATCTCTCAATAAAATATTTTTACAACAATTGAGATCTAGCACCCCACGCATTTTTACGATAAAATTATTTTTCTTTTTGAACTTATATAAAATCATTTATTACTTTTTAGTTCGGCTAGTTACAAAGGCGTGTTTTGTAGTTTTTTTAAACTATAATTTATTCTTAATGAATATTTAAGTTAAATGTTAGGAAGTCTGGCAGCTACTTTTGCAAGCCACTATCAAAAAGAAAGTAGACGAATGGCATGGAGTATTAAATGTGAGTAATAAGTAAAGTACGATCACGATCGATCGTACACGATCTTACCTGTATACCGGGTCGGACAAGCTGCGCGATCTTTTCAGTCATGAGCGTGTGAAAGTGTGGGTGGAAGCGGTATACTGAGCCGTCGATGCCAACAGTGACGTGAGGTTCGTTCATTTTGTTCAGTAGGGTCGCAATGCCTGCGGAGACTAGGTGAGCTGCGCGCCTCGACACACGCTCGCATACGTGCCGAACTGCTGCCATGTCCGCTTCACTTGCGTGTGATAGACCTGCGGGTCAAAACATCAAACTAATTGTATTGTACTAAATATTGTATAGCATAATTAAGAATAATCCGGATAACATTTTTACTAATATAATATTATAATTCCTAATATATAACGCAGTTTAATTTCATTCTTACTTATAGTTAGCCTGTCAGCTGGCCTAGGTACACTTGGCAGAATTATGTGTAACAAATACTAATACTTAATAGTGAGTCAACTCCTTTGATAGACCGTAAATATCTACGAAACGATCACGAGCGTAGGTAGTATAAATATTAGGAAAAAATATTTTGGTAAAATTGACTTCTTACAACCATGTGATTGCTACAGCTTTCACTTATTATATTAATGAAATTATATAAAACTAATGTAGTTATATTTATTAAATTTATTTGTTATATCTAATAAATTAATAATGTATGTGACGGATTAGGGATACGGGGCGTCACCAACCCTATTCATCCATGGTGTCGTAAGAGCCGACTAAGGGAGAAAACGACGCAGGACAACAGCAAGCTAAGTGCTCAATTTTATCTATGCTTAACGTGTTGATTTCCTACCACAGCGTATTTAATCAACAAACCATTGGAGGTGCTCAATTTAACAATTCATCAATCAATTCAATAATATTATGACTGGCGCTAATTAACTACTTTATATACATATCCAGTAAAAGTATGTATTTGAAAATAAGTGGCATTTTCTTTTAAAAATACATATTAGATATAACTAGATTTCCACCTGTTTAATTTCATTTTTTTTACTCTTTTGTATACTACGATCTGAGGAGAGGAATAGGTGCACATACAGCCATATAGGTATATACACTTATTGCAATGTATTTAAGTCTTTAGGCCTTATGAATTAATGATAACGTATATTTATAAGAAAATTGATTTAAAATGCCAAGTGCTTTGTTTATTGAACTTATTGCTTCGTTTATGTTGTAAATGTTTTTACTATGGTTATGAGCAAAACTATCTTTTATTTACTTTTAATAAGGTACTTCATTTATACTGCAGTTGCTCCTTAAACTTATGCTATGTCTTATCAGCCTTTCTATAGCATGTGCAAATACTTCAGAGATCATTATTTGATAGAAAATACTTAGTAGTTACTTAGTAATCATTTTTAATTTGTATCAAGTTACAAATGCAATGCATCGAAACATAAGCGTCCTATCCTAAGTATACTGTCCACGTGCTAACTAGAAATAATTAGCGTCTGACAGAAGATGCAATATTTGTACCAGTAGCAAGATACATCTTTTTATCAAGTTTATGTCGGAGTAAGCTATTTCTACATCTGTTTCATGTATGTTCTGTGAGTATACATATTAATAATGTACTCGTAGTTAGTGCGTACTTAATTTGGTTTTTTTTCCGAACCAAGACTGTACTGGTGAGTGTCGTTAGCGGGTTGGCAATACGCAATAGTGCGAGAAGCACCCGCTAAGTTATATATCAAGTGGAACCGTATGGTTATTAAGCGGTAATTTCTAAATTACGAAATACAGTTCGTCCCGTTGGCTTAAATGGGCGAAAATAAAAATCATATTTTTTGGTATAGCTAACTAAATTTAAGAGGACTTTTTTTGTAGTGGTTTACATTGTTCTTATACCGATAGCAATATTTATTTATTTATAAGACATCGGCTAGCTAATACTGTTAGATTTTGCATTTTTCCATAATATAAAATGATAAGGCTTCTAGTGTGGTAAATCCGGTTTTCAAATATGAAGTTACGTCTGTAATGTCGAATCAAATTAGTACAGGGCACGAGGGCCTTGTTCATTGACCTTTAATAATGTCAAGCAGATTATAGCTCAGCTCGTATTTTGAATTATACGCAGTTATAGCCCCTACGTACTTACGTCAAATTTAACAGTAGGTACTAAATTCACAAACAATTCGTTGCTTTGCGTTCGTTGATATCAAAACAAAACAAAATGTACTTTACTTCTACGAGACGTGGAGAGGTCGTTTTAAATTGGTTGTAAATATTATATAAATATATAAGAAATGTACCTACTTTGATGTATGAAATTCTACAAACAGGCTGCCTGGACTTTAACTTTATACATCTTATGCAATTATGTTGTAATATCTTATTGGATATGGACACGTTGCGTCATGAGTTAGTTTTGGCTTTCGATACGTTGCTTTGATTAGTAGTTTACATAACACACACACACACACACATACGTGTGGAAAATGTAAGTAGGAATGTAGACTAGACTTCTGTTGTTGAAATTGAATACGATAGAAGACTAGGTAGACAATACAAAATTTATTGTACACGTATTCAGATTGCGAGGTATATAAGGGCCTTTGCACACGGTGTATTTTTAACGCGCCTTAACAGTGCTATAGATCACCAAACAGCTGATTGTCGCATTTGTATCAAACGCGTACAAAGTTTGTCAGTATCGCGTTTCGTAACTCTGGTTTTATGATCAAAAGAAGTTTTCGAAATGTCCGTATTGACTGCACGTATGGTTTAAGCGGTCACATCGCCGCTTCCTACTGCGCGGAGTGTTGTGGGTTCGATCCCCTCATGAGACAACACTTTTTGTGATCCATTAATTGTTAATCTGAGTCTGGGTGTTTTTTGTGTGTTTTATGTATGTCCGTATGGACTACAGGCATCCGTCTGTTATCAGTTATTTATTCTTTTACGATCTTGTATGTTTGATCAATGTTTTGATTAAAAGTTGTATTAGAATAACCACTCAAAGTTCCTTCGCTCGTAAATGGCAAATATTTTAGGCCAGGTCCCCAGGCATGCGCAGGAGATCAGGTTTAAGAACTTTTTGCCCCTAGGGCCAAAAGTTGAACACCTAAAAGATCACTTTTTTACAAGTATATAATAATTGGTTACTTACCTAGATCTTCAAGCACTTCCATACAGCTAGTGTAGTCTCCAGGTTTATCCGACTCAATTTCCGATACGTACTTGGTGTAGAAGTAGCCTTGTTTGAACAGTAGGTCGGAACCTTGGCCTCCAAATAACAGACCCATTTTCGTGAACTTCACTAAGGCTAAACGTACCAATTCTCCTAAATACATGCCGGATATCATCTTCTCTTGACTGAAATAAGTATAGTCATAAGTGAAATATTTTACTTTAAAATGGCACAGGAGTGACAGTAGTAAATGTTTGCCAGTAGCAATAGCAATAAAAAATTGCTGGCATAATGATAGTTTATAATTACAAGCTTTATATTAGCTTCACTTGTATGTTTGTTTGTTGGTAACCGACTCCTTTGGGCGTGATTTTGACTGACTTTAAACGGTCAGAATTCGTTCAAACTTTGTAGATATATCGAGGACGGATGACAATACACTAATTTAAAAAAAAAAAAAAGTTTTAAAAAACTATTATTTTTTAATATTTTTTTTTCCTTATGAGCATTAAGTAGTTACAATCGGAAAAGTCACGAGTCATTGATATGACGACAATACATTTTCTTTTTTAGTATAACCACTTAGCATCTAATTGCACAAGTGGATATGTACCATAAAAGTAAACATTTTAATTAATTCAAAATATAGCACAGATATAAAACATCGATATATTAAAAAAAATAAAAAGTCAGTACTTTCATCATAAATATTAATGTGTTACTTCTCTCCAAACACATTATATTAATTTATTATTAGTATTAGTATTAATTTAATTTAATATTATATGAAAGCTATTTTTAAAGTATCACCCGTTGATACATAAATTAGTTGAATACATTTTGCATTATTAAATTACTAAGCACATTTTTTTTGAGTTCATTAGACAGTTTCTTGTAAATGCCCGCTGATAGTATCCTTTCTAATGAAATACAAAAAGTTGTTAGCAACTCCTTCTTTACTGCACTGTTTTTGATGATCTAAGAATCATTTACAGAAGAGCACGTTTTTCAAATAACAAAGTACCTATAGAATTACCTAAGTGTCTCGTTTTGGACTCCGCGCGTATCTGAAACTTTCACACATGAGACTTTTTTATGGATACTTTTCTCATTTCGTATATCCGTAATTTCAGTTACAGATAATAAGCTTCATTACATACTTAATAATAAGTAATGAAAGTTATCAGCACTGAACAATTTTTTCGGTCTTGGTATAAACTACGGTCTATGGGTGATCACAATGATCACCGAGGTGGGCTTGCTAAAAATTGTAAAAAATGGTTCACGGCACATAGGTACGTTCTTTAAGCTCTGTCTGGTTAGATAACATGTGATAAGCATGATTGGCACTTCTGTCTACTACGTATACGATATTCTGTTATGTCAAACTGTAATCATGTAACTGATATTATTATGATATCTGCTAAATCATGCTCACTATTACTTTAGGTTTGTATTCAATAAATATCAACTTAAAGATAACAATAAATATTTTATTACCTTGATATGCACATTTTCTTACTATAAATTTATTAACGTAAGAGAAATCATGTTTGTTCATAGTCAATGAGTATGAAAGTAAGTTTTTGCAATTCAAAAATAACTTGGTTATTATTGAAAAAACGTTATACTACTAAACTAAATGCGGTGTGCAACTGCTTGATATTAAGAATTCATTGCTTTCATAATTTAATCAAAAATAGGTGTGTTTGTTGTACATTCATTTACGTTATCTACGTATTGCGTTTTATTCCTAGCTTACCGTTTTAATACGGTAATATGTATAATAATGTAGAATAAGTTTTGTCTAGTAGCTTATTGTTGCAATAACACAGTTATTCCAAAAATTGACGTGACAATCGAGTTAATATTTTAGGGAAAATTGTTTTTATCTTTTCGATGAATAACAGAAGGCGTGGTCATACGTAGTAATTTATATAGATAACTTACATTTGTTTCCCTGGGTTAATGGAATTCTGGTCGACATCGCGGTCAAACTCTGTGCGGACAAAATCCAAAGCACCATCGTCGCCGAATGCTCCCCATTCTGTGTTTATTAGCAGATTCGGCTTGTCGGGTTCACCTTCAAACAGTTCACAGTTCTCTGTTTTCTCTACATAGCAAGCGTTGCTTCCGGTACCTGGTTACGATAAGTAAATATGAAAATATTTGTAATAAAGATGTATGTTAAACAAAAGCAATTGGATTTTAACAATTGACTGTTTTATCACTTTACACGAACACAAAACGAACAAACATTTGGCTACGACTTTTTTTTCTTTTAGAGATCGACTGTCAGGTTCTTTTTCGTTGATAACCATAAGAATACACTAGTCAGACAAAATTTTCAATTGTAACTGTTATTGATAAGCATAAAAACAAGGACAAAACAACAAAAATGAGTTTTTCATTTTTACGTTTCTTTGTACCGAAAGATTTAATGTAAAAATAAGTAAATAGAATAATGTATTGCAATTCTTGATAACCCAAACGTAAACCACAAAACCATGCAAGGCGTACAGACGATAAACCATGGTTATGCTATGGACTTAGACTTAACTTGTATTCTACTTTGAGTAGAAGTCTTTACCTGGATCTACCTCCAATGTGACAGAGTATGCCATGACCGTACATTGACTCTGATACTATCAGGCAAAAGCCATAAAATTTTGATCGGTTTCGAGTTTAATAACATCGAAAAAAAAAAAACAAAAAAATGTCCTATTCGAAAGATTATTGCAAAAGTCGAAAACCAACGTAAGTACCAGTGCAGTGTCGTTGCACTTGGAGCATTTGTCAAACATTTGGGTTTTAGCTTGTTTGCTGTCAAGCTTTTCCACTTTAAAATATATAAGTGACGAGAAAACATATTTTGTAGGTATTAATTAATTAGTCTGCATTTAGGAAATACCAAATTTAGTAAGTACATACATAAAGTCCGCCCAACCAAATGGTGCGTCTTTTTTAATTTGGGTTAGTATACAAAAGTGTTCCATTTGTCATAGTAGGTGTAGCGACGGTAACATTATAAACATTTTGTGCTAAGTTCTTTATACCACGCTAAGTGCACGTAGCATGCGCTTGGAGTTATGACGAACTAAACGAGTTCATATACTTACATGCAATGCGTTATCAATACCAATGAAATGGTTAGTTTCCAAGCAAAAACTTATGACACCCAATGACTATGAAATGAAGCCACAGTAACCATTTTCCTCTTATGTAATTAAGATAAACCTACCAACGATGAGTCCTATTTTGCAGTTGTGGTTTTTCCACGCGCATGACATCAATGTGCCCGTTGTATCATTCAGTATAGCGCATATATCTATCTGAACGTCCTACAAGACCAAAAAACATGCGTATTAGAAGAAATATCACTTACTCCAGGTCGTGAAAGTAATGGTTACACCAGATAGGTTGATGATGATTGAATTATTTGTAGAGGCTTTCTAAGACGCCAAATGGCTTAAATATCAACTCGTATACCTTTTATCGATTATTCTTTACTTTTAATGTATGTTTTTTTAACTATAACATATGATCCCAACAAGGGATTTAAGGTTTGAAACACAATTAGAAAATGTAATAGGAATTTGTATTATATTTTCTAATTGTTTATTAAATATTCTATAATAATAATAGAATCATGAATAGCATATTATTATAAGTAAAACAATAATATGCTATTCATGATATGACTATGTTTTATGTTTTATTTTAACATAATACAATGTGTTCCCTTTCAAAGCATATTTTTAATCGTTTGTTTTTATAAACATAAATGATTTATTTTATTATTGTTTTAATATTTTGCATCACGAGATAGTTTGAATAAGCAAGTAAAAAAAAACTTTAATTATTAAAAAATATTAAATTATGACTAGGGACGTTAGCGTCAATTAGGTTTTATGCATTTAATATTTATTTGTAGTGTTTTCACAACGACGCACACTATAATAATGCGTTTTCAACCATGCAAAAGTTTAAACACATTATTACAAAGTATGAAATGAGTTTTATAAATTGTGTTTTATAGGTCGGAATAATTTAATTTAATTTATTCATATCTCATCGAGTAACAAAACTCATAGTGTTTTGTAATGACGAATAAAATAATTGATAATCAGGTGTGACAAAACAACTTTCTTAATGGCTGCCAATAGATAATCTTACCATAATTAATTATTTACTAATCAGTTCCGCAATGCGGTCACTTAGAATGATGCAATTGAAGAAATTGAATTATTAAAATCTATACTGAATATTTTCAGTATTTTTATTATCTAGAATAATCTTTTCGAGTACTTAAGAGTATTGCTGTTTTTTATTTTAATGAAGAGTTTTATAAATTGCTTTTTGTTTTTTTTTCTAGAATGAATATATTCTCGTGTGACTCGAGTAAGCTCGCGAGGGTTATAATAAAGTAGTATCGTATACTAACTTATAATATTTAAATTTTTACTTCTCGTATGATTATTTGCTGGCTATTTTTTTTTTCATTTTTAGTTCTTTTATAGTTATTTTAAAATTATATAATAATGTGTTGAATTAGTTTAATATTAGTTGAAGCCCCACAATCGCATTGGGTTTCCTGTAAGGATTGTGTGGGTGTCTTTGTGATAAATAAATAATAAAATTTGCTTATCTATCGCAATAAAAAGATAACGTATAGAAATGTTATTTAAGGACTTTTATATTTAACAATGAAGAAAATACACCAATGAATGTCTCAAGTTAATTTTCATGCTCAGAAAATAATATTTAATTAAAACGAGAAAAACCTTTAAAAGGACTAGACCAACACAATATCCACAGAGTTGTTACTCATGAAAGCCTCTACCGGCTCTCAAATACTGTCACCAGTAATCATGCCTTATGTTTCTAAGAGAGAGCTCTTATCATCATCAACTTACCAATTATAACCCCTATTCGGCAATTATGGTCCTTTTGTGCACATGACATTAATGTGCCAGATGCATCATTTAGGATGCCCATCACTTGTAAAGAAAGGTCCTGTAATTATTTTAAATATAATTTGTCTAGAAACTTTCATGCATAATGCATGCAATACATATATTTGCGACAATTGTGCTAGTACATATAGTATTATATAGAGATATTGTTATTATGATAAATATTACTTACCCCTCGTCTAGCAATAGCATCTTTAAGTCCCTGAACAACATCTTCTCCGACTACACCTGAACAAGAAAATCCTTTAGTCCACCGTTCAAGAATTCCTTTTGTAAGTCCTAATTGTTGTAACGGAAAACTAAACGTAAATCCCAGTGCCAACCTTTCTTCATATACCTCGTGATCCTGATTCAACAGATGTTAAATAGTTAAATTCTAATTCAATTGTGATTATGATAGCGAGTATTATAAACTATTTTACCAACCTTCATGAAGTTTGCCAAACATTCAGCTATGTGATCAAATAACGCAACTCCAGTACCAGTCATTATGTGATTAGGAATAGCATAAATTTTGGATTGCATATCGAAGTGGTTTTCTCCTAAGTTTATTATCAAAACTCTGAAATTTGTTCCGCCTAAGTCCAACGCTAAAAATTTGCCACGTTCTGAAAACAAAACAAAAAAATAGTATGGAACCCTCAGATCAAATAAAAAGTTAAGATGGAACTTTGCGAAGAACGAAGTGAGGCCGGTTTTATAAACATGTGTGCGTGGGCCGATGCTGCCATCATAATTTATTGACAATATTGGTTTCTAGGCTTACTTATGTGTGAAATGCTATACCATCCTATCTATCTCTTGTATTTTGATTTTTAACCCTTTCACAATACAATTCGTCATTAATACTCGTAAATATTGTTGACATTTTTGATGCAGTCTTGACTTTCAAGGCGTAGTTTCGTTCAAAGCGTGGTTTTATTTGGCTTTAATGCTTTGTTTACAGAAAAACACCTTAACTTTTTTTTTTTGATCTGAAATAGAATCACGCTTTATGTCGTCCTTAGCTACATTGTAGTCTACGTGTTTAATATATTAATCGAGACAGTACCTTTTCCATTAGGTAAATCTTGAATGTATGTGATAAAACACTTAACAGTGGCGCTTGCATTTGTGTCTTTGCCAAGCCCTTTGACGATATTCGCATGGAGTCTGCTCATAATCTCTTTAATTTGTTTATCCGTCATATGTAAGACTTCGCATTCTTCACGAATCTGTAAAATGGAAAGACAAATACTAAAAATCAAACATTCCATTAGAAACAGAACGATGAAGAATAATATATGTAAGTATATTTGCCTAAAATCAATTCCGGGTATTATGTACCGGACATAAGTTTTCTGTCAAGTCTTGCATAAAATGTGATGACATGATTAGGGTCATCGCGCCGGTTAGCGACCAATTAGCGGTCAGTCAGCCACCAGTGACTGGTTTGCGATCACTATTATATTTTATTTATATGATAATTAATATACAAATAAAATAATTATAATTGATTTAGAAACGTTTTTAATTTTACCTTTTAATAAAGTGTTACATATTATGGAAATGATAACCTAACAAAAATAATATGTTGATTATTTGGTGGTGTTTTTGTCATTTTTATTTATGTTTACCAAATAAAATATATATATAACGTAGTTTTTTTTAGTTTAGGTAGATAACGTAGGTTTTTTTAGTTTCTATAGAAAGTTTCTGACTATCGATTTCCACGAAGACTTCAGTGGAGTTAAAACGTCTACTTATGCTGGCTGGAGTTTGTTGTTGGGTTGTGCTTTGGAGCAGAGCATATAAAATGATGCCAAGATAATGCACATGGCATTCAAAACCAATGACATGTGCAACAGTAAAAATATATTTTACACAGTTGTGGTCCAATTATAAAAACCCTTGGTGCTATTTAAAAAAAAAACGAACAATATCCAACAGTTCCGCTTTCGTGACCTGGAATGCACATTTTGCTATGGTCTTCTAAGTCACGTCTACAAGCTGTTTTTAAGAATCATCACGAACCGTCTTGTGCGAACTGTCAACGAATTCCAACCATCCCCAGGGTTGGAATTTATTGCAGCCTGCTCCGGTGCATCCGATAGATATGTCACCCTAGACCACATTCACACAGTGCGGTAGATTTTACAGAAGACCAAAGAAATTGTCTAGCATTCGTGGACTATGAGAAGGCCCAAAAATGTCTCTACGTAGCCACCGTCCAGTAAACACCCCCTATACCGTTGCATCGAGGAGAGAGATAAGGGGAGGTAATTTCCCCGAAATAGTTCACAAATGCGATGGAGGACATGTTCAAGACGCTGCACTGGAAAGGGCGTAGCATCAAGATCATCATGGCAGAGACGCTGCAGGACCTACAACAGATGAATGACCAAGCTAACTCTTCTGTACGCATCGGCCTACGGATAAACTTAGATAAAACCAAAGTCATGTTCAATGAACATGTACTACCGGAACCGATTGCGGTACACGGTGCCGTTCTCGAAGTTGTTCAAAAATATATATATCTCAGGCCGACATTAGAGCTAAAATAACTTCGATGACGAGGTGAATAGAAAATTTCGGATCCGGCAGAGAACCAAGGTCATCGCATTAGCATTATCTTGAGTGGAAACCGCGTCTACGCAAACGTAGTGGAGGACGCCCACAGGCCAGGTGGAGTGACGATTTTCACACATCAGAGAGAAAGAGAGATATGATACTGTCCACCAATTTCTCTTATTCCCTTCTTTTCATATCATTTAGATTCTGATCAGTCATTTTTTTACGGATCTTTATCGCACACTCCGCAAATTATTATGATACAAATTATTAAATGTATTTAAGCCGGCCGTTGTATCTCTTATATCAAAATATGGTGCGATCATCTATTTAGCCTATGCTTGTAGGTAAATTAAATAAACGAATTTTAACAAAAAAAAACCACTTCAAAAAACAATTCCAAAACAAATTAATTTGCACTAAAAAGTAAAAAAATAAATGCATATTCTTCTACAACTTAATAATCGATAGTACGGTAGGTACGATCTATGTGTTTACCACGCAAGAAGGTAGGTAAGTACCTACCCACTTCAAATCTAACTCAACATATAGGTACCTATGAATAACAAACAAGGATCAAATTTTTTTGTTGAGTTCTAAGTAAATGAAATGAAAAATATTAGACTACTTAAAAGTCAAACAAATTATTACGATAACATTATGTAAAGGGTTTTCCAACAAGAGGTGTTATTTTGAATCACCCGGTATTTCGGTAGCTGTCACTTTTGAAGCTTTTATTTTTTAACATTTGACAAGTAGAAACTACGCCATTACTAAAAATGGAACGATACACACTTCAACAACGCATTGAAATTATTAAAATTCACTACAAAAATGGTGAAAATCTTGCAGTCACAGTTCGCAAAACTAAAGCATTTTTTGGTCGTCGTGAAGCACCTTGTCGGACCGCAATACAGAAATTGGTGGAAAAATTCGAGCTGTTGGGACAAGTTAGTGATGTGAAGAATAAAACCCGTGCACGTCGCTCAAGAACAGCTGAGAATATTGCTGCTGTAGCCCAAAGTGTTGAAGAAAACGCAGGTTTGTCCATTCCTCGTCGTTCTTTGGAATTGGGCATTCCACAAACGTCATTACACCGTATTTTGCATAAAGACTTGGGTCTCAAGGCTTATAAAGTTCAGTTAACACAAGAACTCAAGCCGGCCGATCATCAACAACGTCGTGTCTCTGCTGATTGGGTACTTGAAATGCATGAAAATGATCCGGAATTCCATCGAAAAATCATCTTGACTGATGAGGCCCATTTCCACCTAGGAGGCTACGTCAATAAGCAAAATTGTCGCATCTGGGGCTCGGAAAACCCAAGAGTTATTGTTGAGAAGCCTCTCCATCCTCAGCGTGTGACTGTTTGGTGCGGTCCGGCATGGTTATTGGACCTTACTTTTTCGAAAATGAGGTTGGATCAACACTTACGGTGAATGGATTGCGCTATCGAGATATGATTAATGATTATGATTAATAATGATTAATGATTTTTTATGGCCGGAGTTGGATAGTATTGATCTGGACAACGTTTACTTTCAACAAGACGGCACTCCGTGCCACACAAGCAACGAAACCATTGCTCTTTTACGGGAAAAGTTTCCTGACCGAAGACATAGGGCAGCCACTTTGCGATTTGGTTATGCAAAATTTCATTAAAAGGATATGGTCCTGTAAGCGTGGTCGTGGTAGCCTTCCTCTTTATTATAAAATAAACAGCCGATTATTTATCTTAAAAAATTGCATTTTTCTTTGAATACTAAAATAACACCTCTTATTGGAAAACCCTTTACTTACAATTTTTGTTATTTTTGGAGTCGGTGTCAGCGGTTTGCTATATTATGTCTCAGCATAGTGTCGTATTAAAGTTCGTTTGTTTGGTTTAATCGGGTATTTATTTCGTTTCAATATTGTTTCGTTTCAGTATTGTCAAAGTATATTGTCGTATAAAAGTTAATTTGTAAATGGGTTGAATTTGGTATTGGTATTCTGTCACATTACTAACAGTATGTTTTCGATCGTATAAAAGTTAATATTTTTTTAAATATTTCTTAAAGTATTCTCGTATTATTATTGCTAGGTATATCGTAGTGTTTACTTGGCTGACACCGACTCCAAAAATAACAAAAATTCAGATTCATCTCTCAGAAAACCTCTTTAAAAAATTGCCCGTGCCGAGAATCGAATCGTCTCACATATTGACCAATTTTTTTTTATGCAGGGTAAATATCATTTATTTCAAACTTATTAACTTTAATTTTTATTAGATTTTTTTTAAAAACACATAAGATTTATTTTTTTGTTTATGATACTTCTGGAAATGCTATTTTCTTAAATATATAAAAGTATAATCTATTATATTAAAGGAACTTAGTCCATCAAATGGTCGCTTACTGAAACCGTCGCAAAACCGGCGCACTTACGCTATATACCATACAATATACCTATACGAATGTATTATAAACGGTCTACTGTTTACTTTACACATACTTAATATATGTGTGTGTGTGTGTGTGTGTGTGTATGTGTGTGTGTGTGATAGTCTATCGATCCCTGTTAATAAATAAATTTATCTTTTGGTTTACGTAGATGAAGTTAACCGAATACTTGAATTTTCATACTTTATTTAAATTACTATAGCACCACTGCAATACTTGCAAACGTATGAGTGAGCAAGTTGGTTATTATCGCGAGCGAGTTTCACAAGGTCAAAGCGGTCATTACAACAACGTAACCGTTGCTTTCCAATTCATAGCCGGGTTTTATATTATAGTGAAAAAGAACCTAAATTCTAGCACTCACCTTCGGTAAATTATTGACAACCAAACCCATTATGAATCACTTGTTTTTACAAATAATGAAGTATATAACACTGCGCGCGTTTTACAATAATAATAAAAGTACAACACGTCTCGCTTGAACCTAAAGAAACTATGAAATAAGCGGTAAGCTACGTTGCCGCGTCGTCGTCGCCAGAGCAATGCGCCGGCCGGACACACTCACTCACATACAGCCGCGATCTTTTTCATTCATAATAGCGAAATAGTGCTATCTCACTCAGGCGAGATAAAATAGCATGTGCAAGAATGGTGCAGATATAAATAATCTACATGACAAGTGAAAAACTTAATGTCATTTCTATTAATAATACTTTATTATAATTTGAAATATTAATTTGAATTAAAAGATAAATTAAAAGACCAGTTACATCAGTATTTTAAGGTTTCAAAGTGTTTGTAAGCATAAGTTCCCGAGACGTGCCCCTTTGTGTACGAATATGATTGGCTAGCGTGTGGGCTCGCTCTTGACGTCATGGCATTCCTTGATAGTTGATATTCACGTTAACATTTGCGTTAGTGGTTGTAATCTGTTATTTTTACGTACACTACGTATGTACAATGGCTGATAAGTATTATTTAAGGCACACGTGCAGTACTAAAATTGTTTATAATATTATCATTAGAAATTATTGTTATATGATATAATGATGTTATAATATAACAGCAAAGTCAGAGTTGTGTGCATTTACCATTTAAAATTATTCTTCTTTTTTACATTCTGTATACATAAATTTACTAATTTTAGTAAAGTAATAATATGTATTAACAAATGAAGTAAATGGACTTCTAGTGTCATTTCCTGATCAGGTTTCACGCGTACCAGGTATACGATTACCCTTACTTGGCAACGCAACGCGGTGACGCAATCTAAATTTAATTGACGCAATAATTTAGTAGTTTACTTAAATTGTACCTACGTTTAATTAATCTATTCTAAACTTTTTTATTTTTATATTAAACATTTAAATAATTTTAGACTAGTCTTACATGTCAAACGGTGCGGCTGTTGACGGTAATTAAACTAAAAAAATGGATTTAAAAATATTGCAGTTGTAAATACGATTTCATCGATACGATGTGTATGTACTTACATACGTAGGTAATATTAGATTTAATTCTGATAAAACATGAAGCTCTAGCTCTAATCGGGTAGGAATCAAGTGTTAAATTTTTCATATAGGTGTAATGTAGGGGGGCGTGTTGTACAATTGAACCTATTATTTGTTTATAATATTTATTTTAAATGTACTACTTTGTGTGCATTATATATATATATATATATATATATATATATTACATATGTTTTAAGGTTATGTAATTAAATAAATTTCCACTATGTTAAGTTTAAGGTAAGAAACTAAAACACGTGGTATCAATCTTCTGAATGCAATTAAATACATAGAATAATAAGATATTTACAGTCCACGATTTACTGTGCCACCAAGTAGCCAGGATCGTACACCAATAGCTTGCCCTTAAATACCATCTTGTGAATCTAGAGGGGCATACTACAGGTATGTGCTCGACCCAGTTCTCGAGAATGGTCGGGCCACGTTGTATTGGGATCGATCTATTATCACAGACAGGACTATTGTTGCCAATAAGCCAGATATTTTCTAAACCCCATGAACCGTGACGTTTTCTGGATGAAAGGAACCTACTCTAGGTCCCTTTCTGTTACTCGGATAAATTGATTTCAACCATTATGTAAACATTTCAATATGTAAAACATAATGGTTGAAATTGGCGCGCATTTTTTCACATAACTTTTATTATGTTTAATTTTATTATCGGAAGTCCGAAAATTCTCATATTTTTTTACATCATTATGATCACTCTTAATAAGAATATTTAATACTAACGATCGAACTCATAATTATCAGAATTCATAATACAACTGTGATACAACTAATCACACACCTGGTTTGTACTCTTACTAATATTTGTTTTCATGTATTTTCTTATACTGACAATCTAAACTCCTAATCATTCTAATACATAATGCCAATTTTTATAAATTTGTTTTAAACTATTATGTTTGTTTTCATAATATTTCTTAATCATAAGTGTTATTTATCCGATATTTCTAAGCTTAAGCTAGCAAGATATTTAAAGCGTTATCCTTCATTTCGATTATAGTGTTGTGTACCTGCAATGGAAAAAAAAATGATATCAATAATACAGGGAGGAGTTTAAAGGTTAGTCCATTACAAAGACGCAGGAACTTGGAATTTTCGATTGTTTGAATTGATGTATTTAAAGAAGGTCTCCGTTAGGTGCGTGCTAGGAGGGGGTTAGCTTAGAACTAGGATCCTGAACACGTTTTTTAACTAGTACTTACAGGTAGTAGACGATGAGCGAAGAATCACTCTTCTATTTCTAAGTCCCTGCGTCTTTGTAATGAACTAACATTTGGGCTCCCATATTATGTATTATGTATATATTATTATATGCTGTAATTATTGAGCTGAGAGAAAAAGTTTGCACGGTTGACCTTTTAAAGGAAATTAAATGCTAAATAACCTTAAACTACAGCTAGATATCATCGTACATAGTTGTAATTCTTGATTTGCATTTATATTTTTCATAAAATAATTTACGACATAAGTAAATCTTATTTTGAATAATTATAAAAGACAACATTATGAGTTCAAATATTTTCTGAATAACGCCATTATTAATAAGATAATTATGATATTTGTCTGTTACGTATGAAGGAAACTGTTCTGAAAAATAACATTATGAGTTCAAACGTGTTCTTAGTAATGACAGTATTAATAAAAGAAATGATAACTGTCTGGTAGCGATAATTTATGAACAAAAGAAGTGTAAGGAAAATTATGTACATTGATTATTATGAACACAAATCGGTATTAAAACAGGAATATAGGAATAAGATTTTTATGTGAGCAGATAAAATACACTCGCATTTTTTTATCATTTAGTTAGGATGGTTAGTTGGCGTGTCCCTACACCCTCTACAGTTCGAGTAAGATCCCGGGTCGCTCACCTTTGACCTTTTTAAGATTAGATTTTTTACATATTTACTCCTGAATAATTATCTTAAGTTTTTTTCACATTGAAAAAGCTCTACGTACGCCTAAGTATTATTTACATACCCATATGTTTACTTTTAATTATTACAAATATACCTACATGATCTCACTAATGTTATTACCGAAACTATAGATAATGAAAATGTGACACGACAATTTTTCTAAATGGTTGTCAATGAACAATGAGATATCTCACCGTTATTAAGTAAGTATGTACCTATTAAGGAATTGGTGCTATTATTAAGGATGCGGATACGAAGAGCGATGCGATTGAAAAATATAATTGAATATACCTAGGTATTGAATTTATTTAGTTATTCTATTCCAATATTGAGTGTACGTCGTAAAAGTTTAAAAATAAATAAATGTTTACATCGCGTTGGGATTTACCTACGCACGCCTGTTATTACAAATTTTCTTGGCATATGTGTTGATGTTTATTTTTAAATGACTTCAAAAAGGAGTTAGTTCTCAATAAGATAATTTTTTTGTGTACCTTTGCCATTGGTGAACCGATTTCTATAAATCATAGTTTAATTTAATTGGCTCTTGTAAGTTAAAATATTTCACTCTAAAGTCCACCCTAAGAGTTAAGAATAGAATACAGGTTATTGCCATTATCAAGAGGTAGGCCTTAGTTTATTTATATTGCAGTTAGGCGCATGCAAGTCGGTCATCTAAAAGATTAGTTATAAGATATTGAGGTTTTAGAAGATCGATTAACATTAAACATGGACGTATAAATATATTTCTTTTAGACGTCCATGACATTAAAACATAAGTTAATGAACGACTTATAATTGCTTACTAATAGTGTCAAATACTACTCATCATTATGGAATAACAGTCTATATTGACATGGTTCTAAAACGAATCTTCAGTTTACAGGTATCTTTAGTTTTTTTAATGGCTGGCTGACTGTCTTTAAAATGTTTGACAAAATCACACAAACAATGCATCGGACCATACAAAGAATTTATGTATGTATTTATATGTAGTTAAATTCAACCGAATCGGACAGACGACCTTATCAGGACACTTCAGTGAAGTTTAATGTTCAAGTATCGTCATTGTGCGATTTTTTTTTTTGTGATTCATTTGTCGAGGTACGGCGATTGTATTGCGATAATCTTGATTTAGGGATTGTGTTATTAAACGAAAAATAACATTAATATTCTTGGTACTGATTTAGTTTTCTTTAAAACTATTTTATGTGAAGTTATTAGCCATTAACAAGACCTAATGATATACATGTACAATAACAAGCATAATTAAATTAAAAATGTATAAAACCCCCGACACACATCTTGGATTTAAAATTTGTCATAGTGTGTAATATTCTACTAGTCAAGCGCTTTCATATGGTACCCATATTGAAGGAGTTGTGAAAAAATATGTAGGTACCTGATCCGGCATTTTGTGGCGGCCATCTTGGACCGATTTTCATCAAACATAGCTAAGAACACTCCCGACTAATTCACCTTACAAACAAAAATACAAAATCAAAATCGGTTCATCCGTTCGGGAGCTACGATGCCACACACAACACACAAACACACCCACACACACACACAAACTTATAACACCTCGTAGTTTTTGCGTCCGGGGCAAATAATAGATGGTAATTTACAGATGTTTATTTAACACTTACATTCTTTTACAATTGAAGAGGTTTCAATATTCTTTCATTACAGGTATAATGTACTCATTTATTTCTTCAGTTTTATAGCAATAACTAAGGATATAAATAAGGAAATATTTGCTTATTCAGATGACCTTGAGTAGCTTTGTTGGTAGCTAATCTCTACCTATTCATTCCTTACTACTTTTTTAACAATATCCTTTATTACACTACAATTCAGGCCAACTAAAATGTGGGTTTTTTTTAGAATATGCCTATATTATTAAAAGTTTTCAATCACACATATTTAGCTAT